TCCTTTTCTTCTTAATTTCATCGTTGAGTAAAATTTTTGGATCATTAAATCTTTCTCTGGAAATATGAGTCGGAGAGCAAATGGGTTTTGACTCCAGTTTTTCATTATGAGGTTAAAAATGTAAGGTCTTTAGATTTGTAAGAATTTTTTTTATATATGCAAATTCGTGGAGGCACTTGCATAATTTGATTTGTGCGGTCTTTAGATTTGTAAGAATATGCAGAACTTGATTTCTATATCCTAACATGCAAAAAAAACTTGGAATGTATAAAATATAAAAGACATGATCAAAAAAGTAGTAGCTCAAGTTTCAGCATATCAGATTTGGAAGCAGAGGAATAACGTCCTCCACAACTTGCAATGGATTCCGCCACAGACTATCTTTAGAACCACCGACTGCAAAATTATCAATATATTTTAATTTCAGAAGACACAATAAGCGTCGAAGAGAACTAATGATCTTTTGACACAATAAACCTTTCTATTATGTAACTTTTTTGTTGCCAAGTTTCATTATTGTATGTTGATGTCTTGTAATACCTATCACTTTCATTTTTTGATGATATTTACATTTTCAGCAAAATAAAATATATAAAATATGCATAATTGGTTAAACAAATCAGAAAAATGCAAAAATACATATGATGACAAAATCACTGATGTTTATATATCTATTAAAAATTATAATTATAATAACCAAGAAAATTTCGTTTCTTTTAAAGTCTATCTTGGTTATCTAATTTTAGAGATGATTTTTAGATTATATAGATTCTACATTTCAATAGTTTTACAAGTTATAATAAGAAGATTTTTTTCTTAAAATGAATTATTCTATCTTCCTAGATAACTAGCATACCAGTACCAACCTGAAGCATGAAACAGACTCACAGTAGAATCGAACTTCGTTACTCCCATCTTAGACGACTAGAGACCAAGAACTAATAATATGTTACTACCAATGTTATTTGTTTGGAGTATAGTTTTTTTCTTACTCAATAAAAAGTAAAAATTTCATATTGGAAAGTAATCAATTCATTCTTAAAACAAGAAGTCCCAAAAATAAAACAACAACAATCAAGGGGAAAAAAAAAGAATGTTGGAACATAAACATCACATAAAAACACAAAAGAAAGCAAAAAAAAAATATCGTTAATTAAGTAAACTCAGACGACAACATATAAATGTTTTATGTATATAATGAAAAAGTCATCAAAAAAGTTAAAATTTGTTGAGAGAGATGTATATATATTGGTATCAAATATATAATAGTAAGCTTAGAAGGTGACGTCAGGAACGATTCCAAGCTCCTTGAAAGCTTGAGGACAATCCTCAAGAGGAGTCTTCCTCATGAACCCAAGTGGGTTAATGGTTCGTGTCTCGTTTGAGACAATGCCATCATTAGCCGTAAGACTGATCCTGGCTGCGTTTCTTAGGAACTCTTGGTTGTTTATGTCACCACACTCTGGGTCTGGTGATTGGACCAGGATGATCTCACACACTTCTTCCTCGTGGTCTCCCATAACTTCCATCTGGTAGTTTCCGGCATTGTCGGTAACAGCTTCTTTGGTTAGTGTTACTGTCTGGTTCTCACGACCCTTGCACTCAAGCTTTACCTTTGCCCCTGAAATACACACGACAATGAAGTAAGTTTTTCTATAATCATATAGAACTAAGTCATGTGAATAATCAAGGTCGTGTCTAGACCGTGACTAAAATGCAGCTTAATATATATCATTAGACTTTATCACGATATGATTTGTATAAAATGAAAAATATATATTAAACGCTACAAAACAATGGCTAACATGTTTTTTGTTGTTTGAAAATGTATTAAAAAGTT